ATCCCCTGAACACTGGGGATGATTTGAGGATCTACAACTGAGTGATACACAAATAAGATACCTTTTTGTTAATAGTTAAGTTAAATGAATGCATTTTTAAGATTTAGCTCCTGAGTTTAGTGTCACTGTTACACAAAGTTACACTGTATTTGAAAAAAAAAATGCACTTTAACTAACTAAGGAGAAACTGCTTCCATCCAGAGCGCTTCCAGTTATCCTAGCACCTAGCTAGGCTTCCCTGTCATGTTTACAAATCACAGGTATATGTATTTTTTTGCTTGGTCTGCATTCAAGACTGTGAAAATGCATCCATTGTGTTCCATGAGTCTAAAGGTGGCCATACACTTTATAACCATCGCAAGAACTTAGTCTTTAGTTGTAAAGTAATTAAAACAACGTACGATCTGCCCATCTTGGACAGGCAGATCATACTTGCGATCTCAGAGGGGCGGGCTTCCGATGACCGCAATGCTGAACGGGCAGTGTGCGCGTGCGCACACCGGCCTGTGCAGCATTGATCTTACGATCATGCTAAAAACCAGCTGAAAATCGTACGATTCTCGGCTGCTTTTCTAGCATGCTCCTTGGACAAAAGACGTGCGACCGTACAGTAAAAACGGTTGCACGCCTTCTATACACTTTGCGATTATCGTACGGTCGCGGGATTTCCCGCGATTATCGTGCGATAATCGCACAGTGTATGGGCACCTTAACTCTACCCCCCTCATTTAGACCTCACCCACACACATTGTATGATATTGCACACCATAAAAACAAGTGACAAGCTGTTGCAGACCTTCCCAAAAGTAAGTGACATACCCAATGAATTTGGCTGCATGTGGTCCTACTATAAAACTCAGATACGTATTAAATGCATTGGACTTCTAAACTATGGCATCTTGGCAGTGTTATCAATTTAAGTCCATATTTTGCTTGGAGTTAGTCAATGTAAAAGTATAGACGTTATAAAGCATAACATAAAATTAAGAATACTTAAAATAATTTTTTGTGTTTTAAGAGGTGTGTTCACAATTTGAAGGAAATCTACCTTGATTGAAGAATGCAGGCTGTCATTTCTAACCTCCTCTTCTAAAAGTGCTATTTGCCTGGCTGTCATGCTGACCCTGTTTTTTAACGCATGCAAATAACTCAGGAAATATTCAAATCAGTCAGTCAACAAAACTACCAGGCAACCAGCATTTCCAGCAAAAGGTCAGTATAGCCATCATAGCTTTCTCATGACAGGTTTACTTTTAAACCAGCTAAGAATAAAAAACACAGTTGATTCACCAGCTTCATGAAATAGACAATATAATCAGCATTTGTGACCTGGGCTATACACTTCACAACCCTTTGTCTAAAAGATCATTCATTCATTCTACATAGTAGATTTCACTCATGGGGCATCAGAATTATTATGTATAATAGACTTTGTGCAGTATAGCTGTAACCCCCCCGACCTACATTTACAATATATAAAGGTCATATGATTTATTTTCCTACGACCATCTAAGAATTTGTTCTTTAGAGTTTAGATCAATAGTCATATAGCTCTCGGGTACAGTCTATTAACTTCCTGGAGAAATAAAAAGAGCACGCAATATTAAAAGGAAAAAATTTAGAAAAATATCAGTGTGTACATGTGCTTGTATAGCTAGATAGATATTTTTGTGTGTGTAAAATAACAATAAACAATACCGCACAGGACATTGCCAGTCATTTAAAAAACAAAATAGATACAATTCGGGATCAGATCACCATTGTGCAGTTCCCCTATTCATGTACCAGACCCTCCATCACACTTGTTACTTCCCTCTTTTGACCCTATCACCACAGAGGAGGTTACAAAGCTTCTCTCTGAAACCCACCTCACCACTTGCTCACTGGACCCTGTTCCCTCACCACTACTTCGGTCACCGTCTTGCTCTATCCTACACTCTCTTACACTTACTAATGACTTACTAACAGCTAAAAACAATGGCCACTACTCATTACTCTTGCTATTAGACCTTTCTGCTGCTTTTGACACTGTTGACCACCTGCTCCTCCTCAAAAAAAACTCCACTCGCTTGGCCTACAAGACTCTGCTCTCTCGTGGTTCTCCTCCTACCTATCTATGCACTCCTTTAGTGTCACCTACAAATCTGATTCCTCCCCTCTCTGTAGTGGTCCCCCAAGGCTCTGTCCTTGGACCCCTTCTCTTCTCTATCTACACCTCCTCTCTTGGTCAGTTAATAACCTCACATGGCTTCCAATACCATCTCTATGCTGATGACACTCAAATATATATTTCTACTCCACAACTCACCCCCTTGGTGTCCTTGCGTGTCACTAATCTACTAACTGACATATCAGTCTGGTTGTCGCAACACTTCTTAAAACACAACCTTTCAAAAACTGAGCTCATGATATTTCCTCCTGCCCGTGCACTTTCCCCCAACTTTTCCCTTAAGATTGTTAACACAACTACCCAGCCCTCCCCCCATGCCAAGGTCCTAGGTGTCATCCTTGACTCGGACCTAGCCTTTCTTCCCCACATCCAATCGCTATCCAAATCCTGCCGGCTTCACCTTCGTAACATCTCCAAAGAAACCGCAAAATTACTCATCCACTCACTTGTTATATCTGGTCTTGACTATTGCAACTCCCTCCTCATTGGCTTACCTCTACACAGGCTATCCCCCCTTCAGTCTATCATGAATGCAGCTGCTAGACTCATCCACCTAACCAAACGCTCAGTGTCTGCAATCCCCCTCTGTCAATCCCTGCACTGGCTTCCACTCGCCCAAAGGATAAAATTCAAAATATTAACAATCACTTAGCCATCCACAACTCTGTCCCTGGCTATATCTCAAACCTTGTCTCAAAGTATCACCCTAACCGTCCCCTCCGCTCTTCAAATGACCTCCTGCTTACCAGCTCCCTTGTCAACTCCTCCCATGCTCGCCTCCAGGACTTCACTAGAGCCTCTCCCATCTTATGGAACTCTCTACACCAACCTATCCGTCTATCTCCCACTCTGACTGCCTTTAGCCGATCCCTTAAGACTCATCTCTTCAGGGAAGCCTATCCCACCTCAACCTGACCACTGAACCATCACGTTATCAAACAATTCATCCCCACACAGCTACCTCCTCATGCATCACTTAACCTTCCTTTACATTGTAAGCCCTCACGGGCACGGCCCTCCTTACCATCTTGTCTTGAATTGTATTGTGATTGTAATGTCTTCCTTATATCGTAAAGCGCTGCACAAACTGTTGGCGCTATATACATCCTGTATAATAATTATAAAGGCCCACTATGGAGAAAAAATAATAATATTTTTTTATAACTCTATGTGGCTAATACCTATAATGAGAGTATTCAGTAAATTCATTTCTTTTATAGATATTTTCTCCGCATTTACATGCAAACTAAGCTGTTTAGTAAAAGCGACAACTACCGGTGGGGGATTGCTTACAATTGTCATCTTTTCTTCATAAGGTTTACACCTTTTTTCCTAAGAATACTGCCGCACGTGCGCGATGATGTCATTGTGCAGCCGCGCGGTGACGTCACGCGCATGCGCAGTGCTGTCTCGGCGGGGTGACACTCGGTTACCGCTCCGGGTGACACCCAGCCTCGGGAAGCCCCTGTTTTAAAGTAGCGTTTAACACTACAATGCTACAAGATCACATGGGACAGAGCACTCTCCAGCAGCTGTCTATCTACTAGCTTCGAGAAGGGTAGAAAGATGAGGGAGAAGCAGGGGATTAATTTGCCATTATATGTCTGCGTGTTTGTGGAGACACTGTTACTAGAACTCACAAAGGAGGCTTCTTAGGACCCCACAAGGCAAGGAACCACTTTAAAACAGGATATCATGGCCAGTGCTCAGGGGGCCAGCTGATTAGATTCTGTAGAAAACGAAACATTTTAAACATTAAGGAGCAGCATCCAACGTATTATTCCATCAGCATTTTAAATAGCTTAAAGCGGACCTTTTTCTTTATCTGTAACATAAAAATAAACACACCTTTAGAAATGTTTAGTAATGACAATCTACAAACACATACATATAGATAATTGCAGGCTTTGTATTCTTTGCATACCTGATTTCTCTTTTCTTCCTTTGTTAACCCCGAGCCACACTCGGGAATACCAATGGATACGCACTGAAATATGCCCCAAAGAAGCTCCTGTACTTGTTTGGGCGTAGGGCGTTTCTCAGTGCGTTTCCACGCGCTGAAATACGCCCAGGTGGGAACCATGCCCATGGGAAATTATGGGATTTCACTTGCTGAGCGTTTTTCAGTGCTTCGATCAGCGCTGAAAAATGCCCAGGTGTGAACCCAACCTAAGACTACCCTGTCCACAGGTTGACAATGTGCTGTGCCATTTCACTACAGAAAAAAAACATGTTGTCACCCTGTTAAAGCATGTGGAAAAACAGCGAATCTACTGGCAGGATCAACAAATATTGAAGCAATGTTAAAGGGGGGATTTAGAAAAAGAAAAACTGCCGTGGTAATGGTAGATACAGACTGAATCACATGATATTTTGCCCAAAGTTCCACTTTAATATCAGTGTTATCAGAAAGAATGTTTACATTTTTTCCCAACTAGACATAGCTGTTCATAATAGTTTAAGTGCTCTTATTGAGGTTAGAATTTGTCATTCATTTGGTTCTTATCCTGTTCTGTCTTATAAGTGCAAATCTCTCACTGACTTGGCACAATTGCTGGAGTCTGGTAACTGCTATAACTAGAATGGGAAGTTTCCACATAAAGAGACATTTTATGCTGCATATTCTATAGCGCAAGCTGTGCAGACTTCTGGAGTAGAAATTACATGCAGTAATATATTACTGTTGAGGTGATTGCTAGCATTTTAAAATTGTTTGCTCTTTTCTTACAGTAACAACAAGGGCATGAAATAATGGCAGCCAATAAAACTCTTATAATGTTGAATGTAAGGACTATCACTTGTCTGACTTGCTGTGTCTGTTTTTACACAGTGCACCTAGTAGACATATGGAACGTTATAGAAGCCCTTCGGGAAAACTCATTAAACAACCTTGACCCCAACGTAGAGTTGAATGTGGCGCGGTTGGAGGCTGTGTTATCAACGTTATTTTACCAACTCAATAAGAGAATGCCGACCACTCACCAGATCCATGTGGAACAGTCCATAAGCCTGTTGTTAAATTTTCTGCTGGCTTCTTATGATCCGTAAGTTTATTACAACTGTTTGTATTACATCTGTGGGTTTTTGAAGTAGGCACACTAGCCTGTTCAAACATGCTTGGTTATATGCTTGGGAAACACATTATTATGGTGGATCGTGTTGCCTCTGTACCATTAACATGATGTTTTACTGTGAATTCTATACCGTTTCGTGTGGACAAGTCCTTTTAAGTTTTCTGACGGTGGAACTAAGATGAACATATCAGCCTTCACCTATCCCATTGATTTAAACAACAATATGCTAAAACACTGTTCTTGGGGCCCACGGTGCCAGTCACATGACCAACTGCCTAGGTGGTTGGTCACATGCTTTCTGTTGAATGAAAGGTTTGGAATTCAGATTGGCTTATCTCCCATTTAGCAGAGCTCACCCTGGCATTTGGTCATGCAAACAACTGCTTTGGGATCCTATGGCAGTGGTTTCTTTCTTTCACTTTCTTCCCAAAACACCTTTGAACCCCAGAGGTGGGATCATCCCCTAAGATTCCTTCCCCCTTATTTATTAGAAGTTTCCTCCAGCTTGTTCTGCATTTGCCATGTCATAACATTCACAAAAAGTGATAAGCAAATGAAATGTAGTATTAATGGTCTATTGGCCTCCCCAAAAAGGACCCATGTACACATACATTTAGCTGGTAACTAAAAACAAAAGTAAGAAACCCGCCCAATAAAATTTTATATATAAGATTTATGGTGCATTTTAATGTGTAATTTTATCTGACATTTTTCCTAAGGCTCATGATCAGCTTATCAGTAGAGATGTAATGCAAATCATTAGCGTGCAGTCAGTTTCTTTAGCAGAATAATAAGGAAAATATTCCGGAAGGGTAATTTTCTATGAATACAGCAGTTTCTCAACCTAACTGAATGTTCCATTAATTTGTAATCCACAGGGAAGGACATGGTAAAATCACAGTCTTTGCTGTCAAAATGGCTTTGGCCACACTGTGTGGAGGGAAAATTATGGACAAACTTAGATGTGAGTATGTCATTTAGGTTTTACATTTTTTTTTTCTATCTATAGTACACTTTGTACAGTAGTATGCAAAAATGCAGGTCAGTGGCAAATAGCCATGTTAAATGTATTAAACTATCAATTATTCCCTGGGCTTACTGCACTTTGTTCACTATAGTGATTCATTCGATTATACTATATTAAGGCAGGGCTGGACAAATTGCAGGAGCTGGGTAGTCAATGCTTTTTAACAATTACAGCTGGTGCCCAACTTTGGAGGTTTTCTCTTATTGCTGTCAATGGAGCTGGCTCCTAAAAAAATTCTGCTGGCTCCTGGATTGGACAGACTGGCTCCTGAATTTCACATTCATATATCCACCCCTGTATGAAGCCTGGTTCATACATGGGCGTACTATGGGCGACCTAAGACTGCCCGTACATGCTGCGGTTTCTGCACAGCTTCATTGATTTCACACATCCGTGCGTGTTTGCACCCACGGAAACACAATGTAAAACCGCACGGATTGCTGGCCATGTTTGGGGTGCCATTAGAAATCAATGGCACCGCAAGCGTGGTTTGCATTTGTGTGCGTTTCCGTGATCACACAAAACCGCGCGCATCGCTGCACAATCTCGAATCGCTCAGATGGGAACTGGGCCTTAAGGTGTAAGGCTTCTTACACTTGGGGGTCTATTTCTAAAAAAATATTGCATAGATATTTATAGAGCCAAACTCCATGTACATTCATTCTGTGCAAATGAACCAGATGGTGTGAGAATGGGGCAAAATGGAATGTTCTTAATCTATACTTCATATTGTATATCTCTATAGAAATGTGAATAAAGTATTTTAGTCTTTAGCACCCTCCGAATGTAAAAGTAGACAAAGCTGCTAGCCGAGTACTCTTCTGCTGTATTCTTCTAGTCCTCAGTTCTTGATGTACCGATGTAAAGTGTGAAAATTGCAGCTGACATGCCTTGTGTGGTTGTAGTGTCTTATCTTGTTAGTGTGACACCAAGGCTAGTCAGTTGAGTGGGGTAAATGTGGGGCAGCATAAAATTGTTTGCCTAGACCCCTATGGGGGCTCTAAGAACAAATCCTGCCCTGGTTTCTCCCTTTATTACCATTGATAATACAAGAATGGTTCTCACTTAGCTTATATCTACTCATTTGTGTTTTATTTTGGTCATCTATCTGGTGTTGTAGTGATATGACTTCATACTGTTATCTATCTGATGATTTACGGTACATTATGCCTTGCATGCAAAGTAATTTTTGCTCTGTTTCATCCTCTTCCAGATATTTTCTCTTTGATCTCTGACTCAAGTGGGGTAATGGTTTATGGAAAATATGACCTGTTTCTGAGGGAGGTGCTCAAACTGCCAACTGCAGTGTTTGAAGGTCCTTCATTTGGCTACACAGAGCAATCTGCAAAGTCTTGTTTCTCACAGCAGGTACAATGAAATTAAATAACATCTTTATTTATTGTTCAGAATTAAGCTGAGAAATGTAATGGCTTAAAATGTAATACTATTAGAAGTCACCAAGTAGTCTAATGGACAATATACAAAATTCAGAGATTTTATGCTGATGGGCCTGCACCACTACAATATTTGATATTAATCAAATAGAATGATGCCTGTGACAGAAATCAATGATGTCAAGAACAGTGAGTAGTGTGAGTATTATCTTGACATTATTTTAAGTACGAAGGGTTATGTGACCTAAGGCTGCAGGATGAGCCATTTTCTACAGGTCACAGAGTTTATCTTCAAGCCACAGCTTCCTTTAGATGTACGGATTCTTTGTTTTTTCTACCAGAAAGTTCTAGAAATGGTTGTTCATCTTCTACATCCATTAGTGGATTTGTCAGGTTGTAATTCAGGTTTATGAGTTGCAGGATAAGGTACCTCGCTTTCCTATTTCTACTAATTCTACAGTACTAGAACCATTGGTGCTTCATAATCATAGGCCTTTCATAATCAGGCTTCAGTTGCTCAAATTTTAAAGTTGCAACATGGTCTTCTGTTCACACTTTTGCAAAGTTTTATAAAGTTGATGTTTCTGCCTCCTCTGAAGCAAGTTTTAGCAGATACATTCTTCAGGGTTTTTGTTGTTGTTTTGAGCTGTTTCTTCTAGTTGTTTGTGGTGCCAACCCCTCTGTTTGGACTTTATCTCAGGATTTTACAGAGCTGTGTCCTTCAATGGACAATGGAGAAAATAGGATTTTGTTTTTATTGTGACGATCTAGCCATAAATAACCCCCTCCCTTCATTTCCTTTGGTACTGCTTGCTACAACTGGCAGGTGTGGGGTGGCAGGCTGTTAATTTTTTACCTAGTGTCCATTTTTCCTGAAGGCAGCAGCATAACCCTAAAGAATTCTTCAGAGCTGTGTCCCTCAATGGACTCCAAGCAAAGGCTTTTACAGTAAAAACAAAATCATATTTTTTGGCAGAGGAGTTGCAGTCAGTATGTAAAGATGGGGGGGGGGTGATGTGTGCCGAGATAATGTAACTCCAGCACACCTGTATGGGAGTTGCATCATCAGCACTACCTCAATGGGTGAAGCAAAGGGACAGCAAGAAGAAAAAGAGGGGAAAGATATGGGGCAGAGTGGAAGCGGAGAGCATGGACCTCACAGCGCTGTAGGAGAGCAGACCCAAGAGGTAAGTCTGCCATAGTGTGCAAGTGTGCTGTGTAAACATGCACACTGTGGCAAATGCTGGCTCCTCCCACTACAGTTTACTTCTGCTTTAACGGGCATTGCTATAGGGAAAGTATTAAGCCAAACACTTGCCACCTCATTTGAATAATTTATTTATAAGCGTTATTACAATAGTTAAAAGTCTTTAGGCTCAGATTCGATAAGCTGTGCCACATGTTGTTTGCCATAACATTAGTTATTTTTAGTCAAGTGACCTTTTTTTTATCATTGTCTCTTTTATTACTAAAAATAAAAGCTGTATACAGACAATTGTTCAGTAAATTGCCTTTTATAGGTAAACAAAACAAGCTAAATTGTAGGTTGATTAGCATTTTTTCCATTAGGGTCATTTTGTGTGCCTGTAGGTGTACAGATATGTTTCCTTATGAAAGGAGAGATAATTCAGTCATTTGTCAATACATGCTCTGCAGGAGTAAACCGTCAGCCAGGTAACAAATGTGCTACACTTATGTGGAATGGAGTAACTATTATTTGTCATGTACACTCCAGTGCATATTGTCAATGTATTATTTTACTTCCAACCTGACATAAGTACAAACCTTTCCCCGTTAAGAAGTGTGACATTCTGCACAGATTTGATATATTTAATAGATTTTATACCGACAGAGTAGATTTATAATGAATTCTGTTTTTTCCTGGGCATATGTCATCACTTTGGGTATCATGAAAGTTCTTTGGGAAACCCAGTATGATTTTTCTCTTTATTTCCTAAAAGAATTTTGGAAAAATTAAAATTTATATCTGATTGATTGCTACTTAATGAGGCAGAGACTTCCACTATGTATAGTACAGTGATACTTAAATACCTACAAGTCTTTAACTTACCTGTCCTTGTTTCTACGAGATTCACATTGTGTGACCCCCCGGGAGCTGCAAAGTTTCCAAGTCAGGTAGCTTCTTACACACATAAATGGGGCAGCAGTATGGCACTTGTGCAGCTTTCAGAGGTCCACACAGTAAAGATATGGCAATAGTGAGGGCAGGTGGGTATAAGACTTTTGGAGAATGCAGGGATTGGAGAGGATTAGTTGTTAAAATATTTTTTGTAAAAGGCTTCTTAGTTAATAAAATGTTACAAGTATTTTTTTTCCCTCTTAACAGAAAAAAGTTACCTTAAATTCTTTCTTGGATACACTTATGTCTGACCCACCACCTCAGTGTCTTGTCTGGGTACCTCTCCTGCATCGACTGGCGAATGTAGAAAATGGTAAGTGACACCTTAATGAGCAGCACATTTTCCCATTTTGGCATATATGGATTCAACTAATAATTTTGTAACTGCAAAGTTCATTAACACACATATGGCACTGGTTTTCTGAGGAGTGATGTGCCTTTTTGTTTTTAATATTTGATTTTTTTTATTTATTGTATAGAACAATCTATGCAATAATGTTAAAAATCAACACATTTTTTAAAGCAGATGCCTAGTTAAAAAAAATGTATAGCTGTGTGATGAAGCTTCCCAAGTGGGGTGAGTCCATGACAGCCTGAGCTCAAAGGAAGTGAGTTAACGGATACTCATTGCCAGCATCTAATAGAGGAAACAAATTACTGCATTGGACAGCTCCGAATTAAAGGTGACTATAGCAGCACAAGCTGCTTTTTTATGGTAACTGTCATTGGGCTATTTTATTATTTTTTAAGGTGAAATTCAGCTTTAACTTTCTACTTAAAATTGTTGTGATCATTTTGTTGCACATGTACAACTCGTTTAATTACAGACATACTAAACTTAAATGTGTTATACACATGTGTTGATTACTTGGCTCAAAATAAGCTCATAAAATAGTACATTTTAATTGAATCTGTATAGGTCCATATGCCTTTATGCAAAGGCTCACCCCTGCAAAAACGAGAATTGAGCTAAAAGCAATACTTTTAGTGAACATTGTTTAACTCTCATCCAGGGGCGTAACTAGAAATCACAGGGCCCCATAGCAAAATTATGTACGGGGCCCTGTGAGTTCTAGTAACGCCCCTTGCAGAGCCCACCTGAGATCCCAAACAGCCCACCTGAGAATGACCCTACTATAGTATCTCCATGATGGGCTCTGCAGGGTCTCAGGTGGGCTGGTCACACCCCTGAACACCTCTTACCTGTCAACCCCAATCAGCTGTCTGCCGCCTCCTCCCCCTTCGTTGCCGGGCCCTGCTTCCTCTGCAGCTGCTTGCTGACACTGACTCAGCAGCACAGGTTGTCAGTGATCTGAACAGTGGCACGTTGCTCCTCACAGCTGCTAGTGACAGCCAAGAGCCTGAGATGCCATAGCGACCCAGGCGGCCTGCACGACATCAGGGGGACCCCTTTGTTCCTCGTCCTGGCCAGGCCCCCCTTGCAGCCACCTGGGTCGCTATGGTGATTGTTCCGCCACTGCTCTCATCCACCCATCACATTATCTCATTTACTTTCTAACGTGCAATGGAAACATGTGAATCGTATTGTTTGGCAGGGAAGCCTATCCCACCTGAACCTAACCACTGAACTATCACTTTCCCAAACAATTCATTATCACACAGCTACCACCTATGTATCAATTGCCGCTCCCTATTAGATTGTAAGCTCTAATGTCTTCCTCATATTGTAAATCACTGTGCAAACTGTTGGCGCTATAAAAATCCTCTATTACAATAATAAAAATAATAATAATAGTAAAAACAGACAGGTCTTCTTTCAGACATTTTTGGTGCATGATGCCCGTTGGGACTTTATATATTGCTGGTGCCCTTGGCATTTTGCACTAGTTTTTATCATTAGAGTAATGAAGAAACCAACAAATTAGACAATATATGTGTCCTTGTCTCTAACAGTCTTAATATATGGGTGCTAAGGGCACTAAGTCATAGCAATAATTTGTACTCGTCGTGTGCTGATCTCATTAGAGTCAACTAAAATGTGGTTGGTTCTTAAGGAATATTGCACTGTACACATTATTATTGTTTTGGGGGTTTTTTTCATTTCATTTTAGACACACTGCAACCTCTTCTGTAAATGATAAGACTGTAATTAATTTTAATTTCCTGTGGGTCCCTCATTCTCCTCTGCATGCCACACATCTGAGCTGGTAAAAAAAACAGCTTGTACAGTGAAATGCTAGTTTTCATTGCTTTGCTTTGAGTAAGCTGTGCTTTCAGTCTGTATGATTCAGCGAGAGGGAGGAAATAGACCCAACAAAGGGTCTGCATCTAGACTCCATGTTATTTTCTCTCTTCATGCAAAGCAAGTAGATAAACAAATTGATTTATTTGCAGGATTTTTACCATTGCTTTAAAAAATCCTAATTTAAATCAGTTCATCTGGCAGTGGTTAGACCAGAAGATTAGGATATTGGTTATGATTGTGTACTTGGGTGATATGTGTATTCAAATAGGACAACTATGTCTATTAACATATCTATACAATTTATTTTCTTCCCCTAGTCTTCCACCCTGTTGAGTGTTCCTATTGCCACAGTGAGAGCATGATGGGTTTCCGCTATCGCTGCCAGCAGTGTCACAATTACCAGCTCTGTCAGGATTGCTTTTGGAGGGGACATGCCAGTGGTTCCCATAGCAACCAGCACCAAATGAAAGAGTACACATCATGGGTAAGAGAGGGTTCACGGGATTCTGAGCTGCACCACTGAAGAGACGCACACAGGAGTGAATTAACCCAGAAAGATAGGGAAACCAGCACTCTATGAATTTGGTGAGGGATTATCACTCACTCTGATTTATGAATGATCAACTGGTGTTTGTGTACAGATAGATGGAATAAGAGTGAGTATTTCACGGTGCTTCGGTTATGTTTGCCTACACATTTATTTTGTGAGGAGCTCGGGCTGAAAATCAGTGGAAGGTAAACTAGGTCTTTTTGTTTTCACATTTTTGTTTTATTGTAATTTAAACTGTAGAATTGAAGGTTGGGTTGAAGGTTTAAGAGAGCATTTTTTTTAAGCATAAACTGAATTGTAGAACAAGGGAATGCTGGAAACGGTGAAGTGTAGACGTTCTATTATAGGGTACTGTGCTTTGTGAAGGTGTTGTTAAAATCTGAATTTATAATTCTGACTTGTGGTCATAAAAATCAGTAAGAGCCAACACATGCACCGAAGGGATTTTATAGGAATTGAACAGAAGTTTGTTGTATACAAGTATTGCAAAGTTATCTTCTTGTTCTAAAAAAAATCTCGTTAGAATGACCAAACTTAATCTGAAAGCTGCTAATGTAGAAGCCTTAAGAATGGGACATTTAGGACAATAATTTAATGGTAGTGAAGATGAAAAGTTTTATTTCTTGATACACAGTGATACTATAGAACAGGGGTAGGCAACCTCGGCACCCCAGCTATGGTTAAACTACAAGTCCCATGCTGCATTACAAGACTATGACAACCCCAGGCATGACTCCCAGAGTCATGATATGATTTGTAGTTTCACCATAGCTGGAGAGCCACAGTTGCCTACCCCTGCCATAGAGGAAAATGTTGATTGCCAGTTTGGTACCTCTTATTGCTAAATATGGTAGCTAACATAGAATGAGCTGCACTGTTATATAACTGTCATTTGAGTACTTTACATGCATGTATTTAAATATGTATAGCTGTTTCACATACTGAATTTTTAATGTTGGAGTACTATTTTAAGAACCTCTTTTTCCATTTTTTAATATTATTACATTTATTTTTATTATTAATTCTCATTTTAAGTTCTTCAAAATTGTTTTTTTTTTTAACTTATGGGAAGCAATTTGCTACAAGTGTATAAACCAGTAAAGTGGCCAGCATTCACATTTGTCAGCACAATTAGCTAAGCTGATTTAAAAACCGCTTTTAATACACTGGTAAAAGCAGAGAGGTCTCTACAGAATGGTTGGTGTCCATGTATTTTTAACCAGGAACAAGCCATGTTAAGACTTTACTGGGAATACCTTTCTTGAGCTTGTGTTAAGTATTAAAGATCAATGTTATATAAAACAATATAAAAAAAGAAAGGCAAAAATATTGATTGCACACACGTTTGAAATAAGGGTGGAAGCCACACACCAGAATCGAGTAGTGTCTATAGGAGCAAAGGAGCAGGAAAATATCCTCAGGTCACTATCATGGTTCCTCACAAGCCCTTTTTTTAATTTTCTTTGTTTTTGCAGAAATCTCCGGCAAAGAAGCTTACTAATGCACTTAGCAAGTCCTTAAGCTGTGCTTCCAGTCGCGAGCCTCTGCACCCAATGTTTCCCGATCAACCAGAGAAGCCTCTAAACCTGGCTCACATTGTGTGAGTATTATGCCTGTCAGCTCTGCAGATACGTTCCTTCCATTGCAAGTTACAGGGCAACTCCTGCACATTCTAAAAGTTATGAAATGTCATGAACTTGGGTTTCCATTCAGGATCAGCAGTTCTATTGGTTGCTGTGTATTGTGTTCATAGCCTTCACTGCTTGCCTGAAAACAAACCGTAACAAGTCCTTTGTATTTAATATCTTTTATGCTGCTGAGCTACATGTTCACAGCAAGGTCACTAGTGAATAAAATCTGTTTGTCTTTAGTGGCATTAAACATTTGCATCTTTTTATTCCTGCTTGTAAGCGGGGACCACATTGCAAACAAAATGCATCATTTTATTTTATCGTACAACAGAACCATATGCGCTCTGTTGGTGAGAAAATAATCAAATTTTTTTTATTCATGGTACGCAAGGACATTTTTGATTTAGCAGTAGGTATGTTAAAGATGAACTCTGACCAACTAACTCTAGTAGGGGTAGGGCTGCGACAGTGGGATATCATTGCAGTTCTGAATCTACCACCAGCAGCTGACCTGCAGTGAAATGATTGTCATATTGTGATGCTGCATTGCAGAACTGCAGATTGGAATTGTTTGGCTGCCATTCTCCTGGCAGATGAATATACATAGGAAAAAAAAAGATAACTTTTTTGCAAGTTCAATTAAACAAAATAAGTATGTTTCATACAATACAAAAAGGTAATTGTATACTTCAGCAGTTTGTTCTTATTCCGCAATATAACAGGATGATGTACAACACTATATCTGTGATGTAATACATTTTGTACAAGTCAGACCTAAAACAGTATAATAATGTGAACTGAATGTACAAAGTGGTTATTGGGGCACCAGTAGAAATCTTAGGAAGGCCATGGTGAGATCACACTGTCATGTATATTGCCAACCCTATAGGGAAGTCTGGAAGCACCCCAGCATCATTGTTGTAGGAAAGTTTAAATTATCCCAATACTACAACAAGTATTCATTATAATCTAAAGGTCTCTACTGCCTATTTTGCAAAGAATCTTTTGACACTGTTTAAAAAAAACAAAATGTAAAGCTGGCAATACACGGCTCTATCTTTTTTTGTTCAATCCATCATAGCTTTGAACAAACCCCCACTGTTCCTTTTGTTCATTGGCTTCTGGCTGTTTGTGCAAAGATTTTTCGACCGCCTCCTTCAATCAGCTGATCGAGGGATGCTGGACGAAAAGGGTGCCAACAGTAGCACCCACTGTGCAAATTTTAGCTGGTTCCTCAATAACCAGACGGAATTTGCACAGTGTTGGCCACCTTAAGAGATGCATGCTCGAGTATCCTGAACAACTCCTGATTATGAAAGTTCTCTGACAAATAAGTGCTAAATGTTTGAGTGCTGTTTCTTCACCATGATGAATCATCTTCACACACTGCTGCTATTGGTTAATCTTCACTCCAAATTGTTGAAACATACTACTTATTCTTCAGATTTAGCACTGTTGACCAATCGTTTGGTTTTAAACTTAAAACTTATTTGAAAGGATGATTTGTGACCATTTATGGTGACACGTCTGCAATTGACACTACATGGTTTGTGGCCAAACCATCTGAATTTTATGGCTGAAAAATCTCTAGCAGCAAAAAAAGGAAAGCTTGTTATTGTTCATGTCATAGACATTATATTTGGTACCAAGCTAAATAAAGATATGTACTTTCATATGATAAGGATTTGATTTTTTTATGATGAGGAAGGGGGTGAGATCTAAAGAAATATCTGTAACCCCTGTATATAATTCCACACTGTGAATATATGGTATTAAAACATCTATTTATCTATTTAATACAAGATATTAAAATGTCTATCTTTGATAGATGTCTTCATATTTAGCTCTTCTCTTTCATATGTGTATCTAAAACATTAAAAAGTCTAAAGAATTTGTATAAGTGTAAGTTGGATTTTCATTCTCTAGTGACTTACAGTCCTCAAAAGCCAAGGACACATGAATGAACAGACTTTGAATATATAACCAGTGCCCTTAAATTGCTCAGGTGACCAAACATGTCATTGCAGAGGAGAATGCTGGCACCAGGCCTGTCTCATGAAACATTTTATCTCCTGTAATTCACACATAATTCTCAGCTATTCCATGATTGTAGCTAGTGTCTGCCCCCTGAAAGCTTGCTTTTTATTTATGATCTTCATTACTTCATGTTATACTTTTCTTCCAGTATGACCTTAACACATGCAGTCAGTGCCCATGCTTTAATGGGTTTTAAGGTTTCTTCAAAATCCATTTTAACCATATGTAGCTGAGAAATTGGTTGTAAATCAAGGATTGCTTACTTAAAAGCATAACCTGTACTCCTGCTCAAATACCCACTGTTCTGGCTTGACGTGGCTGTGGCGGACCGCTTGGTACACTGACTGGGTAACTCCGTCAAAAATAAAGCTTCCTCTCCGTTGGAACCCAAATTCTAGCGTCCTCAGTCCAATCCTACCTAATTATTGGACAGAACCAATATATTAGGACAGAAAACTAAACTCCCAAAATAATAGATTTACCTCAAACATCACATCAGACAACACCAATGTCAAAATAAACACAGGAACTGACTTTATTGGAAACCAGCACAGTATTTATACAGTTCTGGAACTCAAAAACATAATACAATCAGACATTCAAACAATGCAAGCCGACCATCTTCTCCCTGGTGCCCTAATCAAAGAGTAGGGAGAGAGAAGACGCATATGATGGGATTGTCTCCTGAGTGTCTATCATATGTTAATTCACTCAGCTACATCGAGTGTCAAGTTAATCCCATTGTTAACCCAATCACACAAATGGACAAACAGACTAACAAGTTAAATGGGAGTCTAAAGCCAGAGTTAACCCCTTTGGTATTGCTGGATTCACACACTGTAAATATAATGGGCACACGGTGAAGTGAACATACTGCCAGGGGGAAGACGGGGCATATCCACTCCACACATAAATCTGGGTTGATAGTTCCAGGGGGGGGGGGGGGGGTGTACACATACATAAAAATGTTTATGGTTCCAGGAACAGTCCCTCAAGTCTTAGTTCCAGGTAACCCCAAGAGGTCTGAGGGGGTCTCTATAGTCCTAGGTCCATAGTCCGCAGGAAGGAGCCTTGCCCTCAGTCTCCTCCAATAGCTCCAGTGACGGTTCAGTCCGTCACAGTGGCTTCCAAATAATACTTTCAGAATGCCAAGGCATTCTTATGAGTCGCAAAGGTTCTTGTGCCACCAAAACACCACTTAATAGATCATGAAAGGAGTTCTACCTTAAAGTTATATGCATAGCTTTTCTAGAAATATTTTCATATAGCACTGTATAAACCACCACTGTGCTGTTTGTGTGTTAAGATGTTAAAACCTACATAGAAAATGAAATGCAAGCAGAGTTAGTACCTAAATTAGACTTGGTAACAGCCTCTTGCTGTCTATTGTATAATCTGTAAAGCAGAGCTCAGGGGCAGAGGGAGAAGCAGCACACGGAGTCAGTCTGGTGTGTTCCAGTGTAAGGAGCATGCTGATAGGAGGAGAGAGCAGAGCGGCAGAGATCTGTTCATCAGTGTGCTCCTTCTTTTACTGTCCAGTCACATAATTGGGGTGTGGAGGAAACAACTAAATGAAAGTGAAACTGAAGCAGAAAAAGCACAGGTTCCCCCTTACCTGTTGGACTCAGTTGTGCTGTGGGGCAGATCTGTGTAAATCTTAGGCCTGAATGGTCATGGACACACATTCTTTGGCAGGTAAAACAGCTCTCGATGTGCAAATCTGTTCAGAGTAAGTGCAGAGAAAGTACTGAATTCACTCAGACAGTAAAATGGCTAAGCAACTAACATTTTCAGGAGAGGTCTGCTGGGGCAGCATCCATATTCTTTTACTATTTGTTTATATCATGACGATTTTCCTATCTAATGCACCAGGTTGAGGGGACATTATGAACTGGGATGTAGGCTGTGTACAACAAGATATTAACAGTTTTTTTTTTTAATCAAATGTATTCAGTTCTCGTAATTTGATTAAACATTTTCATGTATATTGCTGTATCCATGCCAGAAATGTCTCTTTTATTCGTGCTTAATGTTAGTGGTGTAACTAGAGCCATAGCAGCCCATGCAGCTGCTATGGGGCCCGGGGGGGGGGGGGGGGGCGATGTTATCTAATAGTAATAGAGCCAACCTGACGAGCATAAACAAACAAAGCAGCAAGGCAAATTAGATTACTGTATGTACATCCATCCATCAACAGCTAATGTCAAGAACCCAAATTCTTAGGTACATATTTAAGACTTTAGGGTTTATGGTTCAGGGCTGCAACAATTAATCGACTAAATCGATTATTGAAAAAGTTGTCAACATTTTCAATCATCGATTAATGGGCTTTTGATTAGTTGGCCCTGTTCACGGCTCCACACGCGCCGCACCTCCTCCCCACCTCACACTCGCTGATGCCAGACCCGCCCGCATCCACGCTCCACAAGCAGCACCTCCTCCCCGCCTCACGCTCACCGCCCGCCCACCCACATCCAAGATCGGCACAGGGACGCGGGGATGGCAGGCCCGATCTCAGAAGCAAGTTGCTGGAAGACTGCTCGGGTTAGCCTGCACTCTCCCCACATGGTGCTCTATAATGTATTGCTTGGATTTGTATTCCTGTATAGCTGATGGTACATTGTGCTGAATATTATACAGCACAATGTACCACCAGCTATAGAGGAATACTAATCCCAACAATACATTATATACTGTATGTATAATGTATTGCTGGGATTTGTTGTATTCCTCTATAGCTGGTGGTATTCTGCATTGCACTGTATAATGTACTATTGCTGGGTTTTGTAGTCCTCTATAGCCGGTGCCATTCTGCATTCATTGCTGTATAATTTTACACTTTCCATTTCACTATATTTTTTCATACTTCCACGGCTCTAAGCTTGCTCCTGTGATGGACTACAATCTCAATACAAACTAGTAGTCCCTCGCTGAAGCCATTTTTAAAAATGTATTTTATTTTATTTTTTATCCGATTAATCGAACTTAATAATCGGCTAACTAATCCATTTTGAAAATAATCATTAGCTGAAGCTCTATTATGGTTGAAAAGTGTACCAACAAGAACATTTTTTTGTTACTCATAGATTCCGACTGTCATTTCTACAGTTCCTAGATTAATAAGAAAGCAATGATTTTGATTGGATCCTATGATATTCTTCACAATTAAGTTTACAGATAAGCCCGAACAAGCCTTTGCCAGTTTCCCAGTTTCATTACTGTGTTTAATGTCAGTCTAGATGTTAAGACACAAATATAGGCAAATGTAGCAACAAAAATAGATTGCCTCCATACACCCTATCTGAAGATACCTCTCCCCCTTTAGAGATGCATAGAAATCAACAGGCAATTGGGGTTTAATGAGGTGTCATAACCATTGCACAAGTAAAATCAAAGAAAACATTTTTGTTACATATTCTTACATGATTTAAGTAAAAGTTTTGCATTATAAAAACAAAAGTTCCCCCAATTATCCTTGATATGCTGCTAAAGAAATCCAAAATTGCCACGAGATTCAAGATAATCCCACATTGTGGTAATTCTGGCCAATTTGCGTATCAGGCGTAGATCCTAACACGTTTCACTATATTCACTTCCTCAGGGGACTGGAGGTAACTAATCTGATAATAATAACATACAATTACTTTTCAATCCATAATAAATAAATACGTTTATAACACTCATTATTACCATTTTGTGAACCAATACTTGTGGCGACCAACCCAATGGGCACAAGACACCCCAGCACAACAGGGACCCACTAGTTACCAAGACACCCAGTGTCTAGGAGGGAAATAGCAGAGATTCCTAGGATAGGTGTAAGAGCCGGAGGTCTAAGCCTCCAATCAAACTTGGACCTCCGGCTCTTCCTTCTATCCTAGGAATCTCTTCTGCAGCGTATCAATACATTTTCTTTGATTTTACTTGTGCAATGGTTATGACACCTCATTAAACCCAAATTCCTTCTTGAATTCTATAGGCAAATGTAGAAAACAGTAGAAATGCAATGTAGTACAGTTTAACTTAGTGTATTTCCACTTTTGCAGTCAAATTTGAGAAAACCCCTCTATATGTTTTTTATGCGATCCTATTAATACAGCATAAAGAGAAATAATTTAAAAATATATATATTTCTTACCTTTTAGATGTTTTGCTACACAGACAAGATGGCCAAGTCCATGTTTTTATCAGCACATTCCTAGTGATCTATCCTAACGGAAAGACTTAGGACTGAAATTTGAGGATTGTGTTTCTCACATTCACTTAATTAACATACAATAGAGAAGCCGCCTCAGACCCCTCACTCCTCACAGCCTCTCCTAACACTGCAAAGAAAGAAAAGCAAGTAGAAATGTTAACCCTTAAAACCCTAACCCAAGTAAAAACAGTTTAAATCGCAAGAAGCATGTTTTAAACATTTTTTTTCTTATGTTATGTGAATGGAAATGAAACAAATGTAAAATAGGTGTTATCCCTATTTGGCTGCAAAAGTGGAAATAAACTTTAAGCTCAGGCACCTGTTGCCTTTTTATAATGTTGTTTTTAATCCAGTTATATATAAAAGAAGGAACATTTTTTAACAGACTACAGAGCAGTATTTTATATTTAACTCATGCTTCAATGTCTTATTCAAGCTGAAACACAGAATAGCAAATAAAACTACCCACATTTAGATCATTACATGCATACAAGTATACGTACACTTATATATCTTTTCTATTTCTTTGCTGCAAAAGGGACACTTGGTGAGTATTGTAATGTGTTATACATATAATGTAAATTCACTCATTGACATCAACTTATTCTAAACACATGGCACTTGCAATTAAACTATCCCTTAAAAGTTGTACTGTGTATAATGGTTTTTTTATTGACTTTTTATTTGAAAAGTAATACAAGATAGTGTCAACATGTAATCTGTTTGTATTTTGTACCTGCTTTGTGGGAAATAGCTTTAAGCCCCCTTCTGTAAAACCCCTATAGACCTCTGAGCTTACATTGTCTAAACAATTTATGTTATACTGGTATTGCAGAGGTTGCTTGTTGAGAAGTTTATAAAAAATGTTTTGGCAGAAAATGGCTCCCAGGCTTACATTAATCAGTAGTGTTCAGTCACTAATCCATTTAGGGTTCCATTTTAGTAGATTTGGGTCTTCTGATCATTCATGTAACATTAGTTGTAGTGGATTATATGGGGACACATTTGTAAGCCTCAGATCAATGGGAAGCTGACCGTTTTTATCTCAACCTGCAAAATACTGAGCACCTATGAATTAAATCATTATTGGAATTAAGTAATAAGGAAGATTGTTTTTGTCTGTTTACCATAGGCCTCCCAGACCAGTTACCAGCATGAATGACACAATCTTCTCCCACTCTGTTCCCTCAGGAAGTCACTTTGCAAACACAATGTAAGTACCTCAGAATGTTTTCTTTTTGCTATCATTACCTGTAAGGCAAAGATAGACTGATAGTTGTGTAATTTTGTCAAACAATCCTTTTTGGTTAAATGTTTAAAAGATTTGTGAGTAAAGTGTATTGAGATAACTGAACTGAGGGCATTTATATATAACACACTGAAACGTATTACGTGTCTCCGTAAAAAAACTTGAGTCAATGAACATTACCCATTAACATCTGTGAATTTATTATGTCTATTTAGTCTTGTATTTAAACCACACTTTGATAAACCAAATCATTACTTGAAACTTGACATGACTTCAGCTTAAGGTATGTAGTGTATTGTGCCACAGTAATATCACGCATTATTTGATTGATTGGCCCAGCCCACAGTTTGGTTACTCCATTGTTTCTGGGCTGGTTGTCATGCAGATAACTTTTTCACATTTGATTTATACATTTTTAACGAGTTATTATTCATTCAATCTAAAATAATAAATCTACACTTTTAGCTGACTGTTAACATGCAAAACAATTACAGCGATGTAAACAGCGGTGCAGCACGAACATTTAAATGCATGATGACCAAACATTTAGCTCACTCTGACTTGCTTCTAATGAAATCACTATGGGCACTGCGTGCTTGCTATTAATAAGAAAATCAATGTAATGGCCATGATCCACATCCAATTAAGACTTGTTAAAGATCCTTTTAAACAAAGATGTATGCCAGCTGGAGGGTTTGAAAGAGAAAGGTAGCAAGAAGTGTGCATTGAGTATGTGAGTGGGAGGTAGATGAAGTGGGATAATAAGGATATAAGAAGGAGGTAAGAGTAATGAAGCAATATGAAAGTAGATGAGAGAAATAAAGCAGTATGGAAGGAGGAGGTAGACATAAAGGGAGCAGCAAGTATACAATTCGGAATTAGACATAATAGAAGAAGGAGATACAAATGAAGCAGTAGAAGACACAATAGAAAATGATGATAAGGAATGGAGTAGTATGGAAGGAGGAAGTAGACTTAAAGGGAACAATGAATGTAGAAAAAGGAGGTAAACAGAATGGAAGTAGATATAAGAAATGGAGCAGTATGGAAGAAGGAGGTATATGAAGGGAACTGCAAGTATAGAATTTGGAATTAGACGGAATAGAAGAAGGAGATCAGAATGAAGCAGTATGAAAGAAGACACAATATTATTTATTTATTACAGGTATTTATATAGCGCCGACAATTTATGCAGCATTTTACAGTTGCATATTCACATCAGTCCCTACCCTCAAGGAGCTTACAATCTAAGGTCCCTATCTCACATGCATACATAGAGAGCCTATTTAGAGAGGAGCCAATTAACCTACCAGCATGTGTTTGGAATAGAAGAAGATGACATGGAATGGAGTAGTATGGAAGGCGGAAATAGACAGAAAGGGAGCGATGAATGTAGAAGAAGGAGGTAAACAAAATGGAAGGAGATATTAGAAATGGAGCAGTATGGAAGAAAGTATTAGCATGTAGGGAGCAAAAGAGGAGAGGAAGGTGGTGGGAAAGAAGCAGTGACAAGGGAAGAAGGACGTTCAAGAAATAAAAATATATGGAAGAGGGAGGGAACAAGACAATTTTAAAATGAAAGTACAATATTTTGGAGTTGGAGGGCAGAGGTTTGTGAGCAGGCAGGAATGATTTTAAAGGTTTGTAGAAGGGAGGAAATGACATTGTTAGGAGAAAGAAGGTAATTGGAAAGACTAATGTAAAACATATGTATTACTAAATGGTGGCTTAAAATAGACACTCTACTGTACCAATTACTATGTTAACACTGTGTTGCATCGCAGATGCTTTTTTGCACTTACTCCTGAAACATGCATGTGACTTTTACTTACAACATAATTGCAGATTCCATTGTTTGACTCATTCAGGTTACTTGACACTGTAAGCCTAAATAGTCCTGTGACAGATGAGCATTCTCTGATAAAGCTGTATGTAAGCCAACTGCAGAGCATTCCACGGTCAGTATGAGAAAACTAAATACTAACCAAACTAGTGCTTTAGACTGCACACTAAACCATTTGAAACCATTTTAGGTTTAAAATACTCTTTTAGCCAGCGATCCCAGTAGTTTCTGTCTTGTTACAATATTTTGGAATGCATGGCAAGTTGGTTAGAGTCTAGGTGTATCCTTTCATCAAAGTCTCTTAAAACTTGGAACAGTAATCCAAATCTGGTATGCTTTTCATATCTGCTTTCATCCCTCAGTTATGTAGAAAACCTTTGCATAGGAATGCTAATAATAAAAGGTAATGGATATAGAAATTCCTCTCTTTAGGTATGTATGTTTTGCTGATGTTGAGTTTGATGTCTGGATGTCCTAAAATATAATCGCACAAGCTGCACAAACATCCAGAAAAATGTGGTCCTAGTTTTTACATCAGCTGTGAACTATTATGTTGCTTCAGGGAAGAAAACTTTGAATTGTGGGAAATGAAACAAGCAGCAATATCCTTACTACATTTAAAGATACAGTATATACAAAAAATACATTAAATAAAAAAACAGGCTTTTTTGTCTTAACCAAATGTACAAATATGGGAAACAAACATTAGTTTTGTGTTTATTAATGTTATACTATTTAAGCATTTAGTAATGCTCTGCCTTTTTATATTGTTTGCAACAGTGTTTATTTAATTTACCATAACATAAAACTTGTCTTTACATTTATTTCTGTATTTATATTTCAAGAGAGCATAATGAATGGTTCTATGAAAGAAAACCCTTATATTTATTGAGAAGAATAGGACTAAAGGTGGAGAGAGTGAGGAAGGCTTAGAACTACTGTCTGAGCACCCAATAGGGAAATGTCATGCACCTTCAAATGCAGAGATGGTGGACGGGGGACACAAACAACATAAAAACCTATCCCTTCCTCGCCCCATGCCGAGGTGCTAAGTGTAATTCTGGACTCAGACCTCACCTTGCTGCCTTCACCTTCGTAACATCTCCAAAATATGCCCCTTTCTAACCAATGAAACCACAAAGCTACTCATCCACTCACTTGTTATCTCTCGTATTGGCTATTGCAACTCCCTCCTCATTGGCCTACCTCTACATTGGCAATTTCCTATTCAGTCTATCATGAATGCTGCTGCTAGACTCATCCACCAAACCAACCTCTCAGGGTCTGCAACCCCTTTCTGCTAATCCCTCCACTGGCTTCCAGTCACCCAAAGGATAAAATTCAAAATATTGACAACCTTTTACAAAGCCATCCACAACTCTGCCCCCGCTATGTCTCCAACCTCATCTTAAAGTATCACCCTAGCAATCCTCTCTGTTCCTCCCAAGACCTTCTGCTCTCTAGATCCCGTGTCACCTTCTCCCATGCTTGACTTCAGAACTTCTTCTGGAACTCCCTACCCCAACCTGTCTGGCTATCTCCTACTCTGTCTGCCTTTAGGCAATCCCTGAAGACTCATCTCTTCAGGGAAGCCTATTCCTCCTTAACCTAACAACTAAACTATCACTTTCTCAAACAATGCATCCCCTCACAGCTACCACCTTTTGTATCACTTGCCCCTTTCTTTTAGATTGTAAGCTCTCAGGGGCAGGGCCCTCTTTACCATCTTGTCTTGATTTGTATTGTAACTGTAATGTCTTCCTTTTATTGTAAAGCACTGTGCAAACTGTTGGCACTAAATAAATCCTGTATATCAATAATAAAGGGTTCTCAACTTTCCCACTCTATCCAAATCCATATTTGGATAGAGTGGGAAAAATAAATATATATAATATTTATTATTGTTTGTTTGTATAGATTACTGATTTTTCTATAGTAAAGAACTATGGCTTGTTCTGTATTGTTGCAGAGACTTTCTCATCTTAGATGGTACATGGCAGCCATTATCAAACACTTTCCATACAATAATTTAAGTGGCTTTTAAGAATTACTTCGTGCAGACTGACTAAATATAATCGTATATAATCTGAATTGGTTTTAAGTAAAATGTTGTAGACTCTTTTTCCAATAAAAATACCCCCGGGCACCATTGCTTATGGCAGTTAAAGTAATCTGGTCGTGGGTACATGGACCGCATGTCAGCTTAAAATAATTGCTCAGCATATAATGTTGGAATTTCAGAAGAGGTAGCCTAAAACAACACAAATATCACTGGCATTATTTTGCAGTACAGAGAACCGTAACCAAGCAGAACACATCTTCTATTGCTGAGACTGCTGTAAACTGATTAAAGGTACATTCTGGTTGATAAATGGAAATGGCTGTTTGTACATCAGTGTTTTTTACACTGACTGACTAAGTAAGCCCTCTGTGTGTGCACCTTCACTTCAAAAATGAAAAGACTAGCTGATCTGGAATCCAATTTTTTTGTAAGATAGAACATGTAATTGTGGTTTTAGTTTGTAAGCATTTAGATAAAATGATGTGCTGTTATGCAAATACAAGAACACTAGTGGGAAACCACTCTAGAACTTATTACTCCGGGAGTAACCAAATGTATCACATTTACTGGATGATTTAGAGGACAAGCTGAAGTCATTGGCAGAAAATAGCTTTCTCTCCTGTTTCATACACCACGAAGCAGCATCATTATATGTTTTAGTCTTGCTTGGATAAACAATGCAGACAGTCTGTTCTGTATCCAAACGCCTGTCTGTGTTGTATTTAATCTTCTGTCTGTTTTTATTTCATCAATATACAGCCTTTTGCTGTTTCTAGAATTTGCCAGAAACCCATTTAACCAAGCGTTTCATACCACTTTTACTCTTTCTCTGCGCTTCTCTTGTTATTGCTATGTCACGATACACAGGTCTTCCCAAAAGACCCCAGAAATGGTACAGAGCCGACAGCTGGCTAGGGCTGCTCCAGTTTTGCTGAAAGGCAAAGGGTAAGTTCCAGATGGGTGGTGTAAAAAACTGCATTTAGACAACTAACAGCCTCGCGGAACATGCAGTGATTTGCTTTGGTTCCACTAATGAAACACTGATATGTTATTAGCTGGGTGCAGTTTGTTTAATATTGCAATGCTGTATACAAACCTAATAATACATTAACAACAAGATTTAAAAAAGGCAACGCCATCACTTAGTTAATTTATATGAAGGACCATCATGGTCATATATAGTAAAACAGTGCAGTATACATAGCACCAGGAGGGGTGCAAAACTGGTCTGCTTCAGCAAAGTGAATTCTAATCGGTTTCTTTACATTTACTACTGTAGTAGTATTTGTAGCTTCCTTCTGTATGGTTGCTACTTTTGTTCCCTATGGTCCCTGTGTGTGTTGTAAAATAGTAGCCACCACTCCAAGCTGACTCCTGAATTTGTTTTAGGTGCTTTTGAAGCCATAGGAACGTGCTAAATGGTTTTGGTATGATCTTTATCTGTTTTTAATTTTTTCTTTTTTAACTACAGTTACTGTATGAAAGTTACACTACACTCAGGAGTTAAATCTTAAAAATGCATTTGCGCACCTTAACTATTAACAATCTCTTATTTGTGTATCACTCAGCTGTAGATTCTCAAATTATCTCTGAATTCATGCGGATATTGTCCTTCCTGGAGGGTGGCTACTTGTGTTCCCCATGGTCCTTGTGTGTGTTGTAAAGTAGCCAACGCTCCAAATTTGTTCCCATAATGGACTACAATCTCCCGTTTAATTTAGTACTTGGGGTTGAAGTTGTAGTCTAGCACGGGAGCGAGCTTGGAGCGCTGGCTACTTTACAACATATGTACATGGACTTAGAAATGCATTTCTACGATTTAACTCCTCAGTTTAGTGTCACTTTAAGTGCTTCTGAAGCCATAGAAATATGACCTTTATCTCTTTTAAAATTTTTCTTTTTTAACCACAATTATTAAAGTGACTGTAGAGCCTTGGTTCTCAACTGGTGAGCCATGACCCAAGAGTGGGTCATGATCCCGTATTCAGTGGGTCGCCGCGTGCCTTCCATTTTTCTAGGTGAGAGGCTTCTCGGCCTCCCCCTAGCACAGCACTGTCAGTTCTCACGCCAAGCAGTCATTTCAAATTTGCTGCCCGGTACCGAGTGTCAGCTTGAGATGGGATGGGGCTATGGCCACGAAGGGCAGCTCCATCCATATGCATTGCTTACAGCTTCCTTGCGTGTCATGTAGAGGTGCCTGTACCGGAGTGACGTCACATTCTGGCTCCCGGAACCTCTACAGGGCCCGTAAGCAATGCACAAATGGATAGAGCTCCATCACAACACAGCAGCCTACACTGGACCCCAGGCTGAGGAACCACTCCAGATCTCGTAAGGTAGGGAGACTCAGTGGATCTTAAAAAAAAGAAACAATAAAACACTTTTGGGGAGTGTGTGTGAGAATGTGAGTGTGTAGGATTGTGTCTGTCATTGTTTTTTTTGAGGGCCCGTTCACACTAGTACAGTGCGTTAATCGAACAGTCCTGTGCCATTAACGCACTGTGTTCTGGTGCAGGAGGTGCGTTGTGTTGCTATTCATCACCACCTCCTGCCCACAGTTCAATCGCCCACACTGGAAAGGGCTGTACTGCAATGCCGTGCGTTCCATTGCAGTGCGACTTGGCTCGCAACTTAATGAGCAAGAACGAATGTAGGCCCTGAGGTTACACAGATTGATAACCACTGCTGTGGGTCATCAAATCATCTCAGAATTAGTGCTGACACGGTCATTCCTTCTGTATGGTTGCTACTTTTGTTCCCTATGGTCCCTGTGTGTGTTGTAAAATAGTAGCCAACGCTCCAAGCTGACTCCTGTGATGGACTACAATATCACATTTAGTTTACTAATTTGTATTGAACTTGTAGTCCATCAGGGGAAGGAGCTTGGAGCGGTGTCAGCACCAATTCAGAGATGATTTGAGGATCTGCAGCTGAGTGATACACAAATAAGATACATTTTTGTTAATAGTTAAGGTACTTGGATGTATTTTTAAGATTGAACTCCTAGTTAAGTGCCACTTGCTATCTGGAGCAATTCCTTAATATTTGAACACACATTGAAATCAGAATTTTTGGCTAGAAAACTGCTTCAGACTCCCAACCAATGATATATTTTCTGATAGCAGAGGCCCTGTAGAATAAAACATTGCTAGTTGCAATTTTTTATGCCACATGGTATTTGCACAAATGTTTATCAAACCAGTATTTTTAGATCAAAATTAAATTTTGTGCACAGAAACAGAATATAATACCCAGTTTGTTGGTAAAATTGTGTGCGCCCGTGAAACCGCAAACACTACAAAACCCCAAATTCCTTATAGGCGATTCTTTAAAAGCTTTTAGTGCCCTAGAATTATTGCTCTCACTCTGACGTTCACGGCAATATGTAACGCGTGGTGCAAATTTTCGTTTTTGCATGTAGGCGCACCTGACGCGTGTTTTGTATGTGTGTGTACGTGGAGGTGGGGGTTTTACACTTAACCTTATTGCTATCAAATAGGGGGCTAACAAGGCCTCTATGTTGTAGCAAATATAATGTGACAGGTCATCTTTATGGAGACATCAGGGGTCTTTCAGACCTCTAATGTCACCTACGGACCCCAAAGAAGCTGATGTAGCAGCAATCGGCTTCTCCAGCTCCTTCTCCTGACTCTATGAGCTGGAAAATGTGCACAGTGACACCGGAAGTGATGTAATACACATCACTTCAGGGTCTAGTGATCGGAGGAGAGATCAGCAGCTAGAACTTGCTGATTTTGGTGAGGTGAGGAGAGACCCGCTGTGCCAGTCCGGGGGACAGCGGAGACCGTGGTAGCCGAGGCGACGGAGGAGGCACACAATCGGCCACAACGTACAAGTGATCCGGCCGCTATACAGCTTGCATCTAAACAGCCACTGCTGGCTGTTTAAAATGATACAAAGAACATGGCTGCAGCAGCAGCCATGATTTTGGTATAACCGCTTCAGGGCCAGGACGTAATTTGATGGTGGGCGATCCTGAAGCGGTGCTGGGTGTCCAGACAAAGGAAAATAAAACAAAGGTTAAAGTGGAACTATGGGCAAATTAAAAAATGACATGATATTGCAGTCTGTCAGTAGCATTCATTCATTTTTGGTTTTCTGGGTCCCCACCCCACTGCCCCGGGTGTGACTGGAGCTAAGCTTTAATATTCACATGATAAACATAGTTGAGTTTGTTCTTTGATGAAAATTCCCATTTCTGGATTTATATTGAAATGCAACATATTTGCTGCATTCCTGAAACACAAATAAAAACACAGAAACAATATTTGATCAATGCTGAAAGAAGGGGACAGTTTTGGCTTCAAGGGTCAGCAGAGGGATGACATACCTTGTTTTATTATGTCCTTCAGGGACTTGGGTGAGTGATCTTTGCCTTTGAGCTTTCAGGAGTACCTACCTACTGCAACCATTTTATTTTTTATACAATGTGTGTGTATGTCTCTGCTTGTTATATATTTTATCCTCTGCCACTGGTCCTGTATCAGGTTTTTCTTATTTACTTGCAGAGAAAAATGAAATAAGCATTACTACAGGATGATTAATGCAGCCAATTTCTTTATAATTGGTGTTTTTAGATGCCTGAGCATTACATTTGATAAATTAGGCTAGTACACAAATTTACGTATTTTCAGGCTAACCATTGGCATGCATCTCCTATCTTTCTGGGAGGAAGGAAAATTTCCTGCATGCTTTTATTTACTGTTTCTGCCCTTTAATTTCACTGTTTCTGCTGCGTGGTGGTTTGCTGTGGTGAATGTACCTTTTCTATTTTTTTTATTTTGTGCTATTTCTGTTTCCTGGTGACGTTTGATGTATTTCCCAAACATTGTCTTAGGCTACAGTACAGCCTGGATGTGGCAGACAGGCTGGCTGATGAACATGTTCTCATCGGGGTATATGCCAACATGCTCCAGAACAACCTTTCACGGTTAGTTACGGCTTGGCATATCACTTGTATTCACAGAACAGAAGTTGTATCATATGTAGCTCACTTGCTGAGCAAGCATAGCTGATCAGTTCACCCAATGACCCTATAGATTGAATGGTTAATGCAATGAAGAAATGCAGGTTTGTTTCTTACTCAACATATTAAATAGTAAGATAATTACTATGTTATATTTATTTTATTCCATTTATTTCCACTGCGGTCATCTTTATTTCTACAGTCATGATGATGCTATTGTAACTCCTTTCCCATGGTACAGGTGATGTATTTAATTTATTGCATTATGTAAAACTCATTAAAGCGTTTAAAATTCTCCTCATACTCTTGCTGAATTTTTCACATTATATCCAGGTACTATGGTAGATATACTACTATTGGTAAAACGATATACATTTCTCAGACGTATTCAACAGGATGACATTCTAAAGGTTGGCTGATTCGTCCATGTACTTGCCTAATTGTATTATGTTTGCCTTTCTTTATCATCTATTGAGGGAGTTGAGTAATTCCTAGACAATTTGGTTATGCTGCCATCTTCAGGAGGTTGGGACACTGGCAAGCAAAAAACGTTAGGCCTGGCCCTGTAAAACCCCTCCACTAACCATCATGCCTCAGTTTTTTTGCTAGTGTCCTGTCAGGGTACTCAAGGATGTGGACTCTGGATACACTTTTGGGCAGGGTGATGGTAAGAGAAGTGCAAGTAGTGTAGGCCAACTGGGAGCAGGGCTCAGCAGAGGGAAGGATAACTGGAAGTCAGGAAATGCCACGATGCAGAGTAGGTATCATGGGATCTTACAGGGCAGGGAGTCTAAGGGCCAGCTGGTATTCACCAGAGCTCCTCATATTGGAGATGGATTTTGCTGCATGATGACCCCAGGTGGTGACCCCTAGGTTCACCCTACTCAGCTAACAGCTTGTGATTGTCATCACACAAGACCAGAGGTCAGGGCAGGCTACAGGCCAGGATCACTAAGAGACAAGCCAGAGGCCATAACAGGTGGCAGACACGGATACCAAGAGACAAGCCAAAGGTCAGGACAGGCAACATACACAAATACTAGAAGACAAGCCAAAGGTCAAAATGGGCGATGGACAAGGATTATCAGGAACAAGCCAAAGGTTGGTACATGGAACAGCAACAAGAACAGCAGCTTTGACAGCAAACAGGGGCTCAGCGACTAGCTAGGAAAAGCCATGCTTAAGCAAGGCTTGATTTCAAATAAGGTGAGTAATATGGAGGAACTATTGGATTGGCCAGAAACTGACAGTACTGATTTAGCTGAGAAGCTGTATAAGAATTGTCAGGTGCAATCAGGTGACACCTACCAGACCAGTGCTAAAGAAAGTAGGAACAGAGCACATGTAGTGGAATTACATGTAACAGGGCAGCTACCTGCAGATCTTCGACACACAAGTTATAGATCAGCTGCAGTGACAGTACATGACAGTACTAACATACCCTGGAGGTTGGGAGCTTTTTTTTCAGTTGTGCTAAAATAAACCATTTTATTCTTATTGTAATGTTATTTTTCTTTGAAAGCATTTCTTGAGCTAGCCTCTACATAGCAGCTATCTGGATTAGTGTATCCTTAGCAAAAGCTTTGGAGGCCATACCTGGACTTGTCTACACCAAAAAATCCAAGACTAGCCTGTAATGTGACCTTCAGGCACGGGGTTCTGAATTGTGGCACTTTCCAGATCTCTGTGTACTGTGTTAGTTAGCTGTAGAGTGCTCTTCAGTCCCAGAGCTGTGGCACAGCCTCAATTGTGATCTAGTCTCTGAGGACTTCTGTAGTGAGTAAGGCCGGATGGGCTAAAGCACTAGGAGCTACCTCACAGTTGGTACGGTTGAGTGTTTGTGTGTTGAGATACAATTTCAAAATTCTCACCAGTGCCATCTTACAGCACTAACAGTAAAACTGAGGTATCTGAGTACCTACGTCATTTCCTAAGCAAAGTGTTGCGCACTCTGTGCTTTTCTTCCACCGTTCATCCAAGGGAAAATACCTCCTACAGTAACCTCCCGCCACCTATGACCTCAGCCTAGTTGTTCTCTGCTATGTGGTACAACATGTCTTTTAACCACTTGTCATCTGCCCATTGTAATAGTACCAGTGTCATCCACTACCAGCACAGTCCATTATTAGTGCCAGCCAGTACCAATGTCTTTAGTACCAGTGCTGACCAGAACATGTCAGCCAATGCGATCCAGGTCCAGGGTTATCTGGTACCAGTGCCAGCCAGATCGAGTGTAATCCAGTGCCAGCCAATATCAGAACCAGTGTCATCCAGAACAATCTGTCATCCAGTACCAGTGCCCTCCATTAACCCTGCCAGCCAGTACCAGTATCATTCAGTACCAGTTCTTGTACAATCAGTGCCAGCATAGCCAGTACCAGCCAGAACAAGGGACTGAATACCACCAGTGCCAGCCATTTTGTGTGTGTGTTTCAAGTATCCTGGCACTCTAAAACCTCCACAAATGTGATGGTCGCTGGGAAATCAGATGATTAATTTATTGCCCTTGAAAGCTTGGAGATGTTTCCTGGATTTTGGGCCCCTCCATGTGACTAGGCTGCAGAAAATGTCCGCATGTTGCATTCCCATACGTAGGAGGAGTAGAAGAATGTGTTTTGAGGTGTAAAGTATGCCCATGCTGTGTATGAGAAATAACTTTGCAAAAAAAATCAAATCACCTTTACTTTCTTTTCATCAATTTCCATATGACTCAGATAACAAGGAATTCTTAATAATCTGATTGATGCAGTATGTTCTATCCTGCAGTTGGAGGATCAGCCTGCTGTTCCAGGCATAGGGCCTTTTAGAGCTCTCATGGTTGCACATACCTTCCCAATACACTCTGCCCTCTGTGAGGACTGTAAATATTCTATGGAATCATAGCTCCCTTTCTATAATAGGAAGGAGTGCTTTCCCTATGAATGGGAATTTATTGATAAATTGCCTTACTAGTACATTTCTGTATGGCTATGTTTTATAAGCTTTCCGGCATTTCCCATGCATCATCCCATGCTGATAAAATATAGGCACTGGGACATTTCTCCAATTGGCGGCATAAGAAGTTAAAAAAAACCCCACTTAGATAAGTTTTGGAAAGAGGAGAGGAGTTTTAAAAGATTTGCCCTCACCTTCTTTGGTCACTGTAGCAGAAAACAAAGGGAAATTTTCTTTATGGTGACACAACCACCTATAAGAACCTTTAAAGAGCTTTTAACTCTTTTACCCACACAATAAAAAAAATACTTTAACTGTTACGGACTGTTTTTGCATAATATTTTTATTCAAGTTAAAGCACACAAATTTAAAAATATAAATTTTTACCATGTCTTCCTGTTGTGTGATCATGTACACAGAATGCTGGACAGCCCCAGTCGCCTAGATGAAGAACACAGATTGATCGCCAGATATGCAGCAAGGCTGGCAGCAGAGACCTCTTCTTCAGTAAGTTACTTGTGTTTAGAGTATCAAAAAAGCATATGTTTTACTATTCACCTTTGTTAATATGTTCTTGCATATACAAACCTGCTCTAGACTTATCAAACAGTGTCAAAACGCGTGGCTGTTTTTAATGCTTCTCTACGCTGTTCTATAAGGCCTCATTCACACCAGTAATGGCCGGCCCGTACAGCTCCATGCTGCGTGCGTGGCCATATCGGGCTGCGTGTGATTATATGCAGCAGTCTGTCCTTCTCTATCGGAGTACAGCCGTACGCCCCTCTACGCCCGTACGGGTGCTGGTGTCCGTACTCGTACGCTGACAGGATGGATCCTTTCTGCGTCCGAACAGGGACACCCGCACCCGTACAGACGAGTGGGTCGGGTGACCGTAGGGGGGCGTACAGCTGCGTACTCCCATAGAGGAGGACAGGCTGCTGCGTATAATCACACCCAGCACCTGTCCTTCCCGAGAGCTGCCAGATACGGCTGTGCACGCAGCACGGATCTGTAGGAGCCGGCCATTTCTCGTGTGAATGGGTCCTAAGAGGAGAAACAGTTTTCACTCTACCTAAAATGAATGCCAATTGTGGATATTGGTTTATGTTATTATACTATTATCCCAACACACGCAGCGCTGGATATGTTCAAACGGAGACAGGTATAACTACAGTACACCTCTGTTAATTCTTATCTTTACATATGAAGTTGTTTTAAACTTTTTTTATATATATATTTTTGTGCTTTTTACTCTAAATCTTTATTTTACATATCAATATTTAATGCAGGGTATGCCAATGACATGAATGATATAGAGCATTACGGGGTCTATAATTAAATGTGTTTATACATGTTTTCTGATTATGTGAATCTTGTGTAAAAACATTTATAAATAGACCCCTGAGAGTTTTCTAATAAAAGAGCACACTACTTGCTTTCAGGTGATCTTGCTCTCTAATTAAAAGTCAGTATTGAATCATAAAAGGTTGAGTCACCCCATTGACTAGTTCAGATGTGTGTGTCAGTTAAACTTGAGCTAATGAGCTCTATAGTGGACAGCCTTTTTAAGCGAATCAGTTAAGGAGATCCTGGTAAATGTGTAAAAAAAAAAGAGCCTAGGACTCCATATGATATCTAGAAATTCATATGGTATATTTCATAGTTATCTGACAAAAATATACAAATATTGAATAATGTATTTATCCCTTTAAAACCAAACTTGTAGTATCCTTTAGAGTAGCATTTAGGCAATTGAACCTACTCAATTCCCATTTGTTATTAAAATCAAACTGACAGTCACAGATTCTTTGTGAACTAACCATGTTTATAGTTGCCCCTAAATCCCTTTACAATGGCTGTATAGCGTTGTTTGTCATTGAATCTCCGACATTGGGGTTATAAATTTGTCTGACACTGTATTACAATGTTCCTCTGTTGGCAGGAGACAAATACATGGCAATTCATATCATGCATTGCTCTAGTCTCAGTATGAATTGAAGTTTCAGTAAAAAAAATGTACTTATATTTACCATTTATACTTATATTTATGCTTAGATTTAAGTCATGACTCCACAGTGTTAAGCTTGTGCTCTTATTTGTAAGCTACAAAGTAGGCTCCTGATTCCTGAAGGCCTGAACGTTTTGTAGCGCATTCAACGCTCGACGAACGCTCTACAAAACGCTCAAACATCTAAATCCCATTGTATTCAATGGGTCTGGTTCACACCTTGCCGTATTTCCGCCCGTCCGAACGCGATACAAAACGGCCTACGCCCAAAGAATTACATGTACTTCTTTGGGGCGTTTTGGTCTCGCGTTTCCATTGGGATACAGCCAAGTAGCCCACGGTAAAAACGCGCGACATACTCGCATATTCAATACGCCTAGGTTTGAACCCAGCCTTAAGACAATGAAGGAATATAAGTTGTACTTATACTATACTAACGCTAGTGCAAGTTAGCACAGAGGCTGTAGTAAATATCACTGCACTGTCACCATGAAATTTGATACAGGGCTTCAAAGTTTAAGTAATAACACACAAGTGGATTCTTTATCAGCAATATGTCCTTATTATAAAGCTAAAGGACTGTAAGTTATTCATGGAATTCCTTTCTCACATTTTTCATTTGAACTGTAGAGTGTAGTAATATAATAAAGATATATACTAAGTTGTTTCATATGTTGTAAAACAAGAGTGTTTAAAGGTCTTTAAAGGAGAACTCCAGACATAAATATTTTTAATACTCACACTGCAAAGGTTAAGTGCTCATTTTCATATAGGAGCAAAAATAACACAGATATACTCACCTGAAACTCGCAGCCAGCTGGCTGTTAGACTGGTCCCTTCAGCCTGTCTCCTCTTTTGCTCCAGCAAAGGAATGTCTTTTGGCATCCTCACATCCAATACACTATATAGGACTTGATGACTCACAGGACCTGAAACCACTGGAGCCAGAGGGTGAGAGAGGTTGAAGGGACAGATCTAACAGCTAGCCGGCTGCGAGGTTCAGGTGAGTATATCTTTTTTACTTTCAACCATAGATGAAAAACAACACTTAACCCTTGCAGTGCGGAGGTAGCCCCAGCCCAAGGGTTAAGAATATTAAGCTCTTCTTTAATCATGTTAGCAAAAATACATTACGTTTAAATTGTTATCTGATTGTCAAAGGTTTTTTTTGGCTTTTGACAAATAGTTGTCAAAAGCCTCCTTTATAGTAAGTTATGCTTTTTCTTTATAATATATTGGGCAGGCAGGTTTTTTTTAATTATCCAGTCTGGAGTTGCTATGGTTTGGTAAAGACAGAAAATAATTAAACCGCTGCTAAGTAGTTTGTTAAATCTTCCAATAAGGCGACCAGGGCACAGAGACCTCGGAATGACCTCACTTCAAACCCCTATGCTGACCATTATGAGCTGCCAGTTGATTTTAATTGAAAAGATCAATTTTAGTTGGATATGGGTCTTATCAGATGGGATCTGAACAAAAATTGAAATCCCCTTTCTATAGCAGAGACTAGAATCAGTGCTGTGGAGGATACCACTTCATTTCACACTGCTGGCATCCACATTTTAGAGACCAAGGTCAAGGTGCTGGAATTTAGGGTAGAAGATCCTGAAAATCTCAATCATAGGAATAATGTATGTCCGAGGGTGCAGAGGGCTTGGATCCTGTTATCTTTACTGCTCCCTGTGGCCTGATTTCCAACTTTTATGCACTGGAACAACCCCCCCTTATTCCTGACAAACTGTGTCCCCCAGGTGCACCAAGGCATACTTTCATTTTTAACCTGCTGAATTTCTGAGATCAGGAACTAATTCTGAGAGAAGTCAGAGTATCGGGTGAGTTTAAATTTGAGAACTCAAAATTCATGTTTTTTTTCTTGGAATCCCAAAAGCTCTGAAGATCCTTTGATGTGATCTGGGCATCAACTATAATATGTTGCTTCCTGCTAAGCTGTTGGTACAATATAGTGAGACAAGACATTTGTTTACCTTGCCAGAGGAGCCCTCTACAGAGATTGACACTATCAGTGACAGCAGGTGCTGAAAGATCAGCAATCTACTTCCTAATCCTATGTGAATGTTAGTAGTTGCTCCAGCTATTTGCCTATAACATGTTTATCTCCCTGATGCTCTGTTTGAAAGTGCCTCCACTCTTCAGTGACCTGCCTGAAGGAAAGCCCATGCTCTACCTGGGATCTCCTTCTCAATACTCAATACCTCAATACTTGCTGCCCCTGCTGCAGTGGCACCTACCTTACCTAGACATGATGTTGACCACTGAGGTGTTGGGAAATTGCTGAGCGATGGCTCTCCACTCTATGAAGGGTAAGATTGCTCTGCTCCGTAATAGTGCTGTAGAGATTCTCAGCCTACTCTCCAACCAAACGCTGGTTTTCCACACAGTCTCTTTCTTGAACTATTGCCCCAAGACAGATCACTCTTAAAGACAGACATAACTGCTGACATCTTAGCAGCGATTAATACCCTCCATTCTGGGAAATATCCGAGGAGTGGATGGTTTCCAGAATATAGTAATACCACGGTTCACGAACACTTCTGTTCACGAACACTTCTGTTCACGAACAATCTGGTTCGCGAACAGAAAGTTCAGCAAAATTTTGCTTCCGTTGGAAAACTCCACATCGGGTGACGAACAAGACCGCAGCCATCTTCCCCACTCTGACACGTGGTTGTGGCTTCCTCTAATCGAGATTGCGGTCTGATCGCAGTTTGATTAGTTTCGCGACCAGAATCGTGGAACGAATTAAGTTCGTGAACCGAGGTACCACTGTATTACAAACTGTATCAGGATAAGTGCTCCCAGACTTGACCAAACCCTCTTGGCAACGGTGTAACAGGGAGCCCTCCCATTGACCATGATGGAAGTGATTATTGTTCTGGTCCCTAAGATGAGTAGGAATAGTGAGGAATGTTCCTCCTACCATCCAATTTCACAATTAAATGTGAATGCAAACCTCCTGACTAAAATACTGGCTACCTGCGTTAATAAAGTTACTAAACATCTTATCCACAAGGACCAAACTGCCTTCATGCCCGCTAAAGGAATCAATATCAATATGAGATGCCTTTTCACCCAAATTAATATGCACTTTCCTTGCTCTGGACTCATATATATATATAATATCAATGCTTTGTTGGATGCTGAAAAACCATTCAATTCAGTCGATTGGGGATGTTGTACTTGTCAAATTTGGGTTTGGACAAATTCAAACCATGGGTTAAACTCATTTACTCTGATTCAGTGGACAGGGTCAGGGCGAACGATACCATCTCTCACACCCTTTTTCCCCAGGGATTTGTGCTCTTGCCCTAGAACCCATTGCCATTCTCATCAGAGAGGATAAAACAGGGATATAGACTGGTCCCACAAAAGAGATGATTTCCCTTTATGTCAACGACACCCTGCTGTATCCTAATGATTGTACCCAATCTCTCAAATAATACTTTCAGGACCTATTCCAGAAGTGAATTGCTCCTCTACCATCTAGACATGGAAGCACAGCCCTTAGCCCTCTGGCAACCCTCTTCAATAGGTCCCCCAATTTAAATATTAAGGTGTGACTGTCTCACAAGTTTTAACACAATATACCACCTTGAACTTTACACCTATCATAGAATAATAGAAATTCAAATGCACAAGCTGGAACTCCCTTCCTCTGACACTTGCTGGGCAGCTCTACCTAATCAAGATGGTCTTGAAATCTCCCTTCCTAAATGTACCTATATGTTTAGATTTTGCCCTACATATCTCCTGAAAAACTTATTTACAAACATTTCCCACATCTTGTCCTCCTTTATTTGTCTGGTCATACCGCCAGAATTCCTCTCCCTAGTCTTCAACTCCTGGCCACCAGTGACAGACTACCACTGCCTGATTTTCAATTTTATTACTAGGCTGTGGTGCTGGTGATAGTGCGCTGGTGTTTTTTACAACCTAAAGATAACCCAGCAGTTGGTTTAGAGGGGGCAATCCTAGGATCATAGATTAGATTTGTGATTGCTCTCACCCTGACCTCACTGCTCGCTTGATAACTTTCTTTAAAATATGCTCAACAAAACTTTCGGCCCCTTTTACGCCTCTCTGGGGCAATGTTCATTAAGTGCAATAGAAATACCTGTTGATCCTGCCAGAAATCCAATTATGTTATGAGGCAGAGCTGGGAAAGGGAGGAAAGAGGGGCAGAAGGGGCAGCTGCTCTGGGTGCAGTGTGAGAGTGTGATGGTGCATGCCATTGTGACAGCACACTGTCGTGCCACTATCACTTGTAAACCCAGAACCTATTAGTCTTCCACTGCTTGCTTTCTCTGCTTTGCTGTGTAATAGATATGAACTTTCAGAGCCTCACAGGAAGCGAGTAGTGGAAGACTGCTTCTGTGTTTAGAAGTGGCAGCAGCAATTCTGGAGGATTGCTGAGCTGTCTGCTACGATACAGTTTATTCATATGCAAATCCCACATCTAATTCATATGACATTTCATATCACATTTGAATGAGTTGTGGACACAACCTAACAGAGCAGGGCAGTCGAGAGGAGGAGTGAAAAAGTGCCTTTTTAAGGGGTGTGAAGACAGGTCCTGCTTTGGGGATGGAGCAGCAACCCTTAACTCAGAAGAGGAATCAGAGCTGGTAAAAGATAGAGAAAGGATGCTACTCACTCACACCCTACCTTCCTTAGAGCCCTTCGGCTCCCCGCCTTCCCCAAAAGCCACCCAGGGCCCTTCAGTTAAAGCATTCGACAGAGCTCCCCTTTCCCTCCTTGTTGATCACACTGACACAAATGCCAAAGCAGTCCTCCTCGGACTGACACATGGACTTTTTCCTCCCACTGACATTTGCGAAGCAACATTTTTTTCCAACTGACACCGATGCAACAGCTTTTTTTCTCTAACTGACATCACCACAGTGAATTTTTTTTCCCCACCAACACTGATGCAGGGGCATTTCTTCTTTAAGGCCCCGTTCACATTGAGCGATTTATCGCGCGATTTTTGCAGCGATATCGCTCATATTTCCGCACTATATCGCTCTATGTAGCTTCACCAATACATTTCAATGTAGCTGTTCACATCTCGTCGCTCAATATCGCGCAATATCGCTTGTAGCTCGTCGCTGGTAGCTTGTCGCTTCTACATGACCCTTTTTTAGAGCGATTTTGAGCGATATTGCTACTGATTGCATACAGCCCAATAGGAAGATGTCGCGCGACACGTCGCTCAATGTCGCTCGATTTGCATGTCGCTCAGTGTGAATGGGGTCTTAAGTGACAACGCAGACACAGAGGAATTTTATCTTTTTTTTTACTACCAACAAAGGAGGCACATTTTTTCCTTCCAGTGACACCACCGACACAGGGGACTTTTTTTTTTTTTACTTCCAGTAAAGCATGTTGAATGGAATGTTGATGGGTCAGGAGGTGATTACTTTCAGTCAGAATCCTTAAAGCGGACAAACCTAAACAAAGAAGTTACATATTTTTGTTAGCACATCTGTTGATAGCAGAATGTCATACCTAAAACATGTATGATTTCAGAATACAGATTATAGCAATATGGGGGTAATACAGTGACACTGTCACACCAGCAGCTGTGTGCAGAGGCCCTCAAAACTCCACAGCAGTGCAATGTTGTATGGCAGCAATGATAACTCTTAACATAGCAGTATTCCAAGTATAATCCTGTCACTGCTTTGGTCATGAATTAGTTAAGCTAATCTGTTATAAGTATTATTTTTGAACAGTCATCTGCAAAACTACAATGTTTTCTATACATCTTATTTCCCAAGCAATTACAGTTTAAACACACAATTCTGGTCTGGTAGCTAACTTCTTGGCTCTTTCCCTCTGTGAGTCCTTAGAAACGTTTGTTGAAAGCTGACATCAAACATGGCTGCAGTGGTGTACATCTTCAAACAGCAGGTCATCCTAATAATGTCAAGCCTGCAGAACAATTGACCAGCATGGTGGGTCTAATTCTAGAGGAGGATAGAAGATGCAGGAAAGTTCTTTTGTTGTATTCCGTTGTTATCAGTGACACATTTCAGAAAGAGCAGCAAGCATTCATATATTACAAAAAAATAATCCAAAAGTAGGGCATGCATTCTATTTTTCTTTAGTCTATTCCATCAAATATAAGGCACAGTAATCATGTCACCGAGGGGATGATTACACCTGAAAATTGTCAAGTTGTACATACGATTCAGTTCATTGGGATTTACTATGAAAAAAGATTCAACGTCATCACAGGCCTTGGCTAGTCTTTCAGGCCTGGCAGGAGGAAACCATGAAGGATATAGCCTCATGGAGAATGTTTAATGAGGTTATACAATGCTAAGCTAACCAACAGTACAGGATAGATTAGTGGTATAAACAATATACAGTATATCGGCCTTCTGAATCACCTTTAGTGTTCATGCATTCATATTTAAACAGATTTTATAAACTAATAAGAAGACGCTAATGGAGTAGGAGGTATGACAGAAGTGGCTTAACCAGTGCAACCTGGGGATCTTTACACTATCTTTTACAAGATAGGTCTTCTTTAGAGATGCACAGAAACCAGTTCAGATACCAGTGCCAATACTTGGCATGAGAACTACCAGGGTTGCAGTGGTTGCAGCTGCGACTGGGCTCTGGCGCTCCACCACTATCCTGAAATCATTAGTCTGTATTGTTATAGAAAAACTGTCACATGTCAAAAACAAAAAGGTATCAGCAATTGGTATCTGTGAGTACTTCTACAAAAATTAATACTTGTAATTTGTCTGGAAAAAGTGCTATCATTGCATTTTATATATATATATGAGTGTGTGTTTGTATATATGTGTATATATATATGTGTATATATATATATAATGCACAAATCACAGGAGCCCCTTCTAACTTTTAAATTTTTCTATAATCCATTACCTGGAAAAGTATCTGACTATCTGCATTTGTACCAAGTACGGTACTTGGTATCTGCGCATCACTAGTCTTCTTCAAACAAATTATTTTAGCAATAGATTAAGACACTACAGCAATACAACATAGCAGAGCCAATTGTAGTAACCTGCCAGCTTAGTGGTTAGAAAGCTTTTTGCTTCGAGGTGCTGTAGCAGTAAGCAAGGAGAAGTATATTTCAACAAGGGAGCCAGGAGCTTCAGCTATATTAGCACCTTCATTAATCTGGCCTTGGTTGGAAGCCAAAGAAGAATGCAGCTCAAAGGACAAACCCCAAACCCTTTGCCATAGACAGTAGTGTTTAAATACAGTGCATGGTAATTCATATTTCTAAATAGATTTCTTGTTGGATATTTGCATACTAAACTGGTTGATTTGCCTAAAATATGAATAATTTTTTAGTGTGTTTTATTCAAATTTTCAGGGATTTAAACAGAAAGTGACTTTGTAGGCGAACTGAAAACATTTTTCTCTTGTAACGTCCCAGCGCACATGCTCGCAGTAGATTTGCTATATATTCCTTATTTTCAAAATATTTAGATTTCCTATATATTCCTGATGTTTGAAATATAATGTATTTGTTCTTTCACTTCCTTTTGGTTTATTTCCTTTGTGTCTAAAGTGTTCAATTAAAAACACTTTCTTTACTGGGGCAGACAGCAACGGTTATAGATCTGCAAATTATAAAAACAGATTAAGAATGTGCATTTTTTTCTTTACTCTTTCTTATTTAAGACCTTCATTTTGGAACATATGAGCAAAAAAAATCTGTACTCTAGCGAGACTGCATTAATTTTATCCAGCTATCTACAATCCTTTTATCTGTGACAGAGATTCTGCTACCCTTACAGGTTTATGGAGCATTGATCTTTGTGTGTATTGAAAACATGAAAACCGCCTGACTTTCTGGGGATAAATTATTTTTCTTTGTATTTTTCCTCAACGTGCTGTCTTTTTTTTTCTGTCTCCTGTTGCCTTTTACAGTGCCGTACAGATGCCTGATAAGAATATTGTGTTTTATTACAGCAGCCTCAACAGAGGGGCCCAGATATCTCTTTCACTATTGATGCAAATAAACAGCAGAGACAGCTTATCGCAGAGCTAGAGAATAAGAACAGGTACAAATCATATTTAAATACATTTGTATATATATCTTTAAAGGAATTCCCTGCCTGCAATTTATTGCAAGATCCTTTGCAAGGACAAGACAAATAGTAGTGATAATACACAGTACTAGCCATACCAACCACATTTCATCAGTTTCATGCAGTCCAAAGAATAAAAGATTATTGCTGTCTAGTTACTATGGTTTAATGCACTCAATAAACCTTTTATTAAAAACAAAATCCTGGTCATGTATCCAGCCTTTAAAGAAAGTCTGCCTATGCCTTTGACTATGCAGGGCAAAGTGACAGGGCCACTTTAACATCGCCTTCCCCAGGAATACATACTTACCTTCCTTTCACTTCTCTGTTGCTTTATTCATCTACTGGGAAGAAGGAACAAAAGCCAATGTAAGTTTACACAGGGCACAGGATTCTTCTTATCCCCATGTGACAACACTGGGCCAATTCCAGACACTGGCGCTGTCACATGAAAGAACAGGGAAGCGAGTTGCATGCTCATCTCCGTACCCAAAAGTACCATGTACTTTCTTCTCTCACCCAGTGGCTGAATGGAAGAGAAGGGGCGTGAGAATGGTATGTGCTTTTGGGGAGGGCGATGGTAAAGTGAACCCGTCACTTTGCCCCGCATGGTCAAATTTATATCTGAAAATTATACTCAATATTCAATATTATTAAAGGGAACCTGTGAAATGGCTACATTCAAGTATCTACATATTCTTAACACAAAGCTAATCATTTTGGGGCACATTCACACTACACTACTATATACCCCTCACTCAGGAGTAAAGGCCCAATACCTTGAGTGACCCACTTATTTTGAAGGATGCTTCCGTATTTCCATAATCCCCCCTTCCCCCCAGACACCCAAATCCCTATTGGGGGGCAGGATATGGAAATGAGGCTCTTGTCCACATTACATACGTACATGGAGCCTTGCAAGGGGGAAAACTTGACCACCACACTCCTTTGCAAGGTATCCACACAATGTTAAAGACATATGG